CCACTGTGCTCCCCAAGAAGTTGCAAGGACCCAGCCAGGCCACTCCCACCCCTCACGCCCACCCTGCTACAAGGTCAGGACTAGGAGGAGCCGTTCTGACCCAAATCAGGAGTGGTCTCCACTTACCCCAGAAACCAGGGGTGCATGCTCCTATGTCACCTGCCATCAGCCCCATTTTACAGGGGATATAACTGAGGGTCATACATGCCTTTTCTTGCTAGGGCCACTGCTAGCACAGGGCCTGGTGAAACTCCACCTACTGTCCTGCTCTCTATTCTATTTGACTGCCCAACTGGAGAAACAAAGTGGTGGAGTCAAGTGTAACAGGTTTAAGCAGAATCCCAGAGGGGAGCTCCATGGAGAGCATGCGTACAGGCAGCAGGGTGCAAAGATGGACAGGGGAAAGAGCTGGGGTCACAGGGGTGTCCAGAGCTGCAGGATGTGGGAGGTGCACCTGATTTCCTCATTCCAAGCCACAGTCTCCCACCAGTGCTTCCCGCAGCCAACCTAACAGGAAGCCAGCTGCAAGGGAGTCTAGGAAATGTGGTTGGCAGTGGTTATACTCCTTGAGGTTGAGGAAGACGGAACAGAAGGTGAGGGCAGTGTCCTTATCTATGCTAGGTCTCCCTTGCTGTCCTGGGCCCTTCCTCTGCATATAGCCTCTGTTTCTGCTCCAGGCACTTGCAGGAATGTCTGAAGCCAGAAGGTCAGAACCAACCTGAGTCACCCACCAGCCTTGGCAAGAGGAAGCCTCAGCCCCATCCTGGGTGGATAGGACTGACACTCTGACACCTGGGGCAACATTTGGGGATTCCTAACGCCAAAGCCAGGGACAGTGGAGAGCCAAGAGAGGCTGCATGTGATCTTGAGCTGAGAGACCCAGAGCTGGACTCTGGCATCCAGGGCCGTCTAGCACCACTCTCTGTGGCTGCTGCAGGCCTGATCTGCCACTGTAAGGGCTGTGCTGTACCAAGAGATGAACGTCCCGAGAGGGTAGAACAGAAGCACACCCAAACTCCCTTCTCGAAACCAAAGGGCTCACATCCACCTTATCCTCCTCCCTGCCTTGTTGCCCTCCTGCGGGGGATGCTGCAGGCCAACAAGACCTCCAGCCAGAGGTGGCTGCCTGCTGGGGTCCAGACCAGAGGGTACCTAGTTCATGGATATTTACAAGGGTCTACGAATGACCAAGCTCATGCTACCTGTTGGGCTTCAAAAGAAACAGAGTAGTTATAGCCTCCTAAAGCTGACATTCCAGCCGGTGGGGGGTGGGGGAATGCAAACAAATAGCACCTGCAGGGCCAAGAGACTGATATAATGTCTCTGCAGGTGACAGATGCAGTGGGAAAACCACAGGTGTGTAAGGAGCCTGGGGAGGGTTTCCAGGGAGTCTTGGCTGAGTGAGGGAGTGGTTGGAGGAGGCTGGAAGGATGCAGTGGCCTGGGGAGCAGATTGAGCCAAGTCCCAGGGCAGACAGTGTGGCTGGGACAGAGTATATGAGGAAGAAGTGTAGGAGAGGAGATGGGCACAGGGGCAGACTCCACTGATAGTTCCTAAGGGTGTGAGCTGGAGAGCTCTGGAGAGTTCCCAATAGAGGTAGAATCTAGGCCACAATCTCCATGGGTCATTGCATTACAACAGGTTGAGGGCAAGGGACGGCAGCTAGGAGGCCTTGTCAGGAGACTGCTGTGTTAATCCAGGAAGACCTGAAACAGGCTGAATCCCAAGTGGTCCCAGAAGACAGGGAGAAATGGACAGATCCCGGCTGTTCTTGGCATGTGCTGGTGCCTAGGTGTGAGGCTAAGAGAAAAAATGGGTCCAAGGCTTTCGGGCTGAGAGGAGAAAGAGGGGCAGGGCCACTGCCCTGGATGGGGAAGGCCAAAGTCAAGGGTGGGGAAGCAGGGGAGTGGGCTTGGAGGTAGGTGCTGGAGTTGGAGACATCCAGATGGAGGTGGGAATACTGGGTGGGAAGCAGGAAATAGCTGGAATGTGCACCCTGGCTTTATCAGGCTCCAGATAATTATCAAAGCAAAATCCAAGACCTGTTGGGGTCAGTGAGAGGGAAGAAGGTCAGGGCACCCTGAGGGCTGTGGCTGGGGACAGCTGGGGACTCAGAGCCCAGGAGAAACAGAGAGGGAGCCACCCGGTGTGTTCTCAGCCTGAAGCTGTCTGGCCAGGTACTCTGAGCCACAGCTCAGCGCAGACATCCCCGGCTGGACACAACCAAAAAAGTGCACCTAGGACTTAGTGGCACAGAGCACCTGCCACTCTGTCCCCGGCTTCACCCCTAGAGGCCCCGTAGTCAGTTGCGGGGCTCCTGGTAGGCACCGCACTAAGGTTCTGAGGTTTCCCGACTCTGTCTCATAGCACTGGAGACCCTTTCCCAGTGCCAGTAAGCTCCTTTGTGGGAACTACTCTCCTGTGGGTCCCGGCCTCGGCATGGCCCCAGCAGAAGGAGAGCTAAGGAGACACTGCTGGGCCTAGCACCTGGCTCAGGGAAAGCGCTCTGCACATAACAGCTGGCCCCAGAGCAGAGCAGGAAGCAACGACCTCTTTGCCTGACTTGGGGAGTTTTTTGCTTCATGTTACAGTGATGACTGTGGCAGATCTACTTCCTTCACGTCCCTCTCAAGTTGCTCAGAGCTCTCTCACTTTTGAACAGTACTATTTCCTTAGCATAAATCCCTGGGGCGGGACTCCCGCACCAAGAGGCCCAGAGACCTTTGCCAGATCCTAACGCTCGTTGCCATATGGCCTTCCAGAAAAACACTGTCATGCTGGTTACTGATTAAATTCTTATTTTTCCTCTATGAAATCAATTTATTATTATTATTATTTTTTTGCCCATCCCTGCCTCCAGTGGGGGGTGGCGCAATTGACACAGCTTTGAAAGCCAAGTCAGGGCATTTCCGTAAGTGCTCACATTTTTCTTTGTAGTGTTTACTTTTTACTGTGCTTAAGTATGAGCTATTTACCCCAGGCTTTGTCTACTCATCATCGCACAATCAGTGAATGCGAACTGACCCTCCACCTGGGAACACCTGCTCTAATGGACACTTTAAAGACCGTGGCAGTGAACTTCTTTAGAGTTAACTCGGATTTCCTCCCATTTCATATTTTCATTATTATTCTTATAAATTGTTTTAAATGTTTTTCTATGTAGTTCTTCCTACTAGAGGTTTAAAGTTTATGCAGTTATCCGTATGTAATTCTGTGGCACTTTAAAATATTAACATCTTCAGCCCAGCGTTTCTGGATGGAAGAGTATCCTACATTGGGCAGGCACTGTGGCTTGGCAAGTTAAGCAACTGCTTGTAACACCAGCATCCCTTACAGGAGTGTTGGGGTTTGAGTCCCAACGTCTCCTTTTCTTATTTAGCTCCTTACTAATATACCAGCAGCACACGGGCCAAGTGTTTGGGTCCCTGCACCCATGTGGGGTCTAGACCCGTATGCAGATCCAGTTTCCTGGATTTCGCCTGGCTCAACACGGGCCACTGTGGCCGCTTAGGGACTGAGCCAGGAAACTGAAGATTCTCTTTCTCTGTCACTCCGCCTGTCAAATTAACAAATCAAAAAAAAAAAAAACACCTTGTGAAGCGTTATTTATGAAAAATGTATCATCCAAAAAAAAATAAAAACAAATTCTGAGAACAAAACAAGAACTTCAACAAGGCAGGGGACATGGGCTTAAGCAAAGTTAACACAGCTGCTTTGCCACGGGCTCCCGAGAGACTTACCACGTGGACAAAGCCCAGCACTGCCCAGGGGACAGAGGAGATCAGCACAAACGTGTCTCAAGTGTCCTCTGCTAGGAAGCCCCTCCATGGCACCACAGTCTAGAAACAAACTTCAAACAGAAAAACCAAACCAAATGGCAAGCTCCACTGAGCAGGGATTTATGTCTGCTTCTTTGCCTGCTTTCTTCTCAGCTGTAACTCTTCAGTCAAGCTGGGTTGAATGAGTAATGCAGCACACGCAAAAGAAACAACACTGTGTATGGTCCAGCAGGCCTGGGTACCTAGGGACACACTGCTGGATAACAGAAGCATGAAGGATGACTCACTGGCTCAAGGCAGCCCCCAACTCCTGGTCACCGACCTCCTTCTCTGAGTGAAAGGAAAGCATAACTCATTTGGGTAAGGGCCCAGGACCCTCAGCCATGATGGACACAGCCCTGAAGGCAGCTCCAGGTGCCAGCCGCACAAGGCAGAGGCCAGGGCCCCAGAAAGGTCCCTTGGTGGGTGCCAGGGCACTCATGAAGCATGCAGGTAATGTTCATGCCAGGGCCAGTAGCCCAACTCCATGGAGCCTGGCAAAGGCAGGTACTGCCCATGATAGGAAAGTTGAGGAGCAGCCACCTAGGGCATGTCCCAGGCCAGCTGAGACCTCAAATCCATCCCCAAGTGACCCCACGGGGTGAGCCACAACATGTAAGATGAACACTGGCTTGAGCCTTCGGGGACAAGACAGGGCTCCTAGGATGGCAAACAGCTCGCCACGGGATAAGCATACCTGAGTGGCCACTGCCATCCTGAGACCCACATCCAGTTCTGCCTCCTTACCTCTTTCTCAGCATTCAGCTGGACCAGCCTGAAATGCTCAAGATCCACCTTCGCTGTAACAACCTAAATGGTGCAGAGTTTACAGGGAAAGCTGCTATGGGGCTACGTTGTGGAGGCTGGGGGTGGGAGGTGGGGAAGGGGTACCATCTTTCTCTAAGATCCTCACCTAATATGTCCAGCACTTAGAACAGCCAAGCCCAGTGAGTTTTCAAGAAAGAGACCACCAAGCCCAACCCAGGAGAATAGGTGACATTTTCCAAATATTACCCCTGGGTAATATTTCCTTTGACAGTGCCCCAGCGCAGCCCCCAGAGAGTCCCGGGTCACCAGAGTGCAAGCCCTGCCAGCAGTTTAGGGAACACAGACCCCCTAAACCGGTCCCCGTGTCGGAGGTTTAAGAAGCTTCCCTGGCAAAGAAGAGAGGAAACAATGAGCTTTATAAAGAACCATATTTATTTTCATTTACAGCATCAAATACCATAAATAAAGCTAAACATTGTTTGCCGTGTGCAAAATACAGGGTTTTTGTGTGGCACTGCAAATGATTACCCAATGTCACAAACATGCCTTGTGATGAGATGGGGCGGCTAGCTAAGGAGAGATGGGGTAGGGGAGGGGGGATGGGTGGAGGGCACTCTTTGGTTGACATTCTAGAAAGGGAGGAAGACTCTGAAAGAGAAGATAACACAAGAGCATCGACTTGGTACTGGCCAGGCTCTGCACACACATGGCGAGGACGCAGCAGGCAACACTGAGCAGACAGGCCAGGAGGCTGCAGCAGCTCTGGGCACATGCAAGACAGATACCACAGGGCCTGACCTATGAAAGCTCCATCATGACTTGGTGTGTTGCTTCTCTGGGAAGCCTTTGATGCTCCAGGTAAAGGAGTCGGCAAGAGAAGAGGCCTTGAACAGAGCCACAGGGGCATTACAACTAACAGCTCATCTTCCAAAGCCAGCCTGGGCCCAGGACTGCTCTGCATGCAACGCTTGCCTCATTAGGGGGCATTAGAAACCAAGGCAGGTAGGGAGAGTCACAGCAGAGGCCTGGGATCTAGAGGGCAGGCCGCCAGAAAGGACTTGCAAGAATCATCTTGATCACATGCTCAGAACCCAGAGTAAGGCACAAGCTTGTGATGAGGTGTGTAACCTCTGCTAGAGGAATTACATAGGCTTCAACCAAGGCCATGAGCAATTCTTACTTTAGAGCCAATTGGAGATGAGGCAGGTCTGTACGAGCTACTCAACACCTTTTCTGAGGTGATACAGCCCTTCCATATGGTTCTGTCTCCCAGTCAGGGTCAACCCTCCCAAGAAGGCACAAGGCTTTGCAAGCACAAGTGGGGAAAGCATGCACGGAGGCCGGCCTAGGGAGCCAAGGAGAGGCAGGACATGCACTTGGTGAGGACCGAGCTGCTGGCTGCAGGGCAGTGGGACCAGAACAGGGCCTTTTGGGCTGGACATCACCCCATGCTGCTAACCAACCATGCCACTGAAAGAGTCCATTAGTATGCAAGACGCTCACAGTCAGCACAACCCCATACCACTGGTGGTGGCGGCGGCGGCAGGGCAGAACAGTTGCAGGAAGCAGGGCAGGGGTTAGTGCCACTCTCTGAAGATTGGCAAGAAAATCAGTCACCTCCGAGCAGAACTGTGTCAGCCAAGAAGTGGGTGTAGAACTGGAAGGGTGAAATGAACTGATGGCCACAGTGTCAGGTTGGAAGGAGAGAAAGACAGAAAAGAGATTTTTAGTGCAAGGGTGGGACGGTGGCGGCGGGGTGGGGCTGGGGAAGGAAAACAGGCGGCCATCCGAGAAGGCAGTGGGAGTGGAAATAAGGCAATTGTTACAAAAGAGAAGTCATTGCTTGCTCAAGAGAGAACAACATTTCCCGCAGCGACCCAGCTATGATTGGCACATGGCTGGCATGTCGCCAACCTTCTGCTGTCCCCCACCAGGAGCTAGAAATGCCCCCAGAATGCCCCTGCATCCCCATCTTATTCTAGGGTCTCATGTGGACGCTCCAATACAAGGTGGAGATTGGGCCTTCTTTCCTGAGGAGCCACTCACATGTCTGGTGCTGCACACCGGGATGGTTCCAGGTTTCAGAACATTTTACAGACATCTGAATCTTGCGGCAGGCACACCCTGTCTGCCAGAGTAATGCAAACCAGTCCTCCTCAGGGCCTTAAATACATGCTAAGAGATTCCACTCAGGCTGCGTGGAACATTCCAGAAAGCACCTCAGCTCACCCTGAGTTGATGATAGTCAAAAATTCATGACTGTTCCAATCATGCCCCCAAGAATTTACTTTTCTCTCATCAAACAAAGGCATCAGGCCCCACCTTCATGATCAGGTTGAACATTAAAACCGTAGCAAAGATTGAGGACAGCACAATGCGAGTTGCTGGACTTAGACTGAACATGAATAGAGGCCCCGGTTCTCACAGACTTGGCCAAGGCCAGGGGTCTGCTTTTCCAAGGATTTGAGGGACATGTTTACGGAAACACAGCCTTCCCCACCCTTTCTTCCCATCATACAGCAGCTTGTCATCTCAGAGCGCTCAGGCTCTCTGGCTCCTAACCCGTGCCAGGCTGTCTCGCTCTGTTAATCTGGAGGAATCTCTAATGATAACAACTGTCTGGTGCTATCTAAGGTCCAGCAACTCTGGACAGGCTGAGCCCCAAAGCAGGCCTTCTCGGCTTAGCCTCTCAATGGCTCCCTGGACCCTGCACCCCTTGGCAGAGTGCAGTGGGGTGCTCTGAGAGACCCTGTGGATACCCACAAGAAATAATACAGGCGGACCCAGTGCTCAGGCTTGGCCTCATCAGGGTGTACAGTGTTTGAGTCATCCAATAAGCAGTTTACATGCCCAGCCACCCACAGCTGAGCCTCTCTCTGGAGGTCAGGCACATTCCTTTTCTGGGGGTGGTGGGAAACTGTTTCCTAACTGTTTTAGCCAAGCACGCATGTCAGCCAAGTGGACTGCACCTGCGAGCCATGAGCCCGCTGCCCCTGCACCATGGAGGTGCTAACACGCTCAAGCTCAAAGGACAGTGTCTTCCATTCCATTCCGGCTGGTCATTAGGGACCTTGGATGGACTTGGTTGAGCCTACAGCTGAGCTAGGGGAACAGGCAGGGAGCCAGAGAGTTAAACTGCCCCAGCTTTACAGGGCTGGTCTGCAGCACTGGTGGAGCTCAGCATGGTCAGAAGGCCCTAGGGGCCAAGTGGGCAGGGACATGTGTGCTTGAGGCAGTGTGGTCCAACCTTAGGGGTTCAGCTGCAATTTCGCTTGGTGGCAAGGTAGGACTGGGGGGAGGGGCCTCTAAGCGATTACTGGATTTCAAAACGAAGGGAGAACAAGTAACAGTCAGCTCTGACTGCTATGTGCTTTAGTAGGTTTAATTCTCTTCTGGCCTCATAGTCTTTTCTTACAACATAGAAATGCTTTCCTGTTGCAAACAATTGGCTGCTATGGCCAGGTGGTACCCAGGGACATGGGTGGAAAGGCACTGGTCAGGAGGTGGTACATGACTGTCTACCGAATCCCAGATCACAAGCTTCGCAGGCAGTGGCCACTTCAAAGCCACTGCCTCACTGAAGCTGTATGTAAGACCAGTAATGAACTTGAAAACCATGCCTAGCAAAATCGACACACATAGAAAAAGAAGAAAAAAAAAATCCTCTCCTGGCTTATCAAAAGTTAAAAATTGAAATGTAAACCCAGAAATATGGCTCACTTTGGTATAAAAAAAGATTGTACAAAAAAAAAACCAAAAAAACACATCCTTCATGTTGACCCTAGCCCGGCACCAAGTGGATGTTCACCCTGACAGAGCTGGTGAAGGCAGCCAGTGTGAGCCTCTTTGGCTTTGAAGACAATGGGGAAAGGAGAGCAGACGCTGGGCTTTCCCCGCAAGCGTCACACACGCTGTGGGGCGCTCTGGGTGGCTGGGCGGCTCAGGGCAGCTTGACTGAGATGCAACTGAGCACCCAGCTGCAGAAGTTCTCCAGGGACTCCTCGGATTCCCTGTACATGGCGGCCAGGACCTCAGAGAAGACCCAGAGGAGCGGAAGCCCCAGGCTCAGGAGCTCGTATGTGTAGCAGTAGTTGTGAGCATTGTCCCTGATATGGAGGCCCATGGCGCGCAGAAGTCCCCGAATCCAGTTAAGCAGGCCCCGGGGGATGTTGAGCAGGGCCCCCGGCCAGCCCAGCACCTTCCTAAAGAAGGAGGTGGAGGTACCTGGGGGGCTGCCTTCCGGGGTGCTGATGGCAGCCGCTGCACAAGAGCTCTCCGTTGGCGCGTCTCGCCGAGGGGTGTCCTGTTCTTGCCATGTGCTCTCCTCCTGAGATAGAGATAGAGATAGAGAGAGAGAAATGTCACAGACTAACCAGTTCTCAAGCCTCACCCAGGAGCCCATGCAACAAAGCAGACCACAGGAAGCGAGCTTGGCGGGCCCTGGAGTCAGCCAGCAGCCCCTGCCCTGCTGAAAGGCCTCAGCCCCCAGTTCCATGCCACAGGTGGTGTCCACAATGGGCCCATCTCTTCTGGGGGTGGGGGAGGTGTGGCAAGTGAGAACGCGCACACTGACTGTAGGGTACTTGAGCCTTCAGACTATCCATGCACTTGACCGATCAGCCTAATTCTAAGACTAGAGACCACATAGTGCGGTATGGGTAGAGACAATGCACGAGGATGCTCATGTGAGAATAGTTGTCAGACAAAAACACCAAGCGACACAGAGGCCTGACAGTGTGGCACTAAGGAAACACAGTATTGGCCATCCACAAAACAGAATCATCTTTTCTACGCGTTAAAACATTGGCCTCTCAAAAAGAATGTCTGAAGTCATGGAAAACTGGTCTTGACATTGTGTTTACAAACAGAGGAAGAGACAAAAACATCCTGGATAGGATTCCAATGAGGGAAAGAGCTGGGAAGAGATGTTTCAAAAAGCACAAGTGGATAAAAGTGACAAAGCAATGACAGGTGACTGAACTCTCCTTTTGTGTACACTTTCATGAATTTCCCTATTTTTCTTCATTAAGCCTATGCTACTCGTTGAATTAGGAACACCTTTTGAGTTATGAGGGTCTTGGTGGCTGGTACTTAAGGAGGCATTTGAGGAGAGCCACCAGAAGGGGGCACTGCTGCCAAAACACCTGTAAACACAGTGCTTTTGCTTGGCAGACACGCAAGAACCTGAAAAAATGGCCGGGCGGGGGAGGACAGAAGGTGGTATTCTTGCAAGCAGTGCCCTGTGGCCAGGCGAGCCCCAGGCATCCGGGGATCTTACGGCTTGTCTGTCACCTTGCAGGCAGTCCCAGCCCCAGCATAGGGGCAAGCTTTTCTCAGCTTCCTGGAAGAAGCGTGTGAGCCACACACCTGAGAGACCGGCTAAGGAACCTCGCACCCTGGGAAGGAGCTGCTTAACTGTCACCTGGGAATAGGTTCGGCCCCTCCAGGGTTTGGAAAGCTGGCCTGGCTTTGAGAGCCTGCAAAATCCTTTTGCTACGGAGAACTCCTCTGTATCAGCCCAGTCCTTAGAGACACAGCTTACCTCTCTCTTCTGCTCCAACTGTGCTCGTCTCTTGCGTTGCTTGCTGTTCGTCTTACAGTGAATGAAGTGAGGCTTACAGTAAAACTTGCCTGCAAAGATACACACACACACACACACACACACACACACACACACACACACACACACACACACACACAGTTTGCTTCCGGTTGGCCAGGTCAGAAACCTCAATGATGGGAACAAGTCTTAGTTTGATTTTTCCAACTCGGGAAATGCCAGCTCGGGACTAAGACAAAGCCTGTTGGATCTTTTGATGCCCCGGAGACAGGCTCCAGCAGACGGGGCTCCTGAGCACTGGACTAGGATCCTCAAGAAATCCTTAAACCAACAGATGCCAAGCAGCTTACTTGACCAATTGCCAGGCTGCAGGGCAGAAGCCGTATCACCACCCCTCCACCTTTCTTCCCAAAGATAGGTGGCATCAGTGATGGGTGGGGAGGAGGAGACCAGGGCAGGGCACACTGAGGAAGTGCCCCCAGCCTAGGGCCACTGGACTTCTTTAGGCTCTCTGTTGCAGTAGTAGCAACCAGCTCACCACTTATTTAACTTACAGAGCAGGCTGGGCGTTGTGCTGAGCACACAGCACAGGTTGTCAGGTTTGAATATCTCAAACACACAGGGGTGGTGGAGGGCGGAGAGACTAACTGAAAAAAAATGAGGTCATTGATGCCTCAGCATACAGCAGGTGCACACAGGGTCCTTACATAACACAGGTGCCATTAGCTTCCCTGCCCTTAAGCCACGGGTGGCTTCTCTTGCTGGGAGGGATTCCCAGTTTTCCCAAACAGCCTTTATTTATTACTATTTTTGATGCAATGACACTCCCTGAGAGCAGTAGGGCAGGGTCCCAGAGGTTGCAGAGGGGCTGGGGAGCCCAGACCAAGGTCACTGGGGGTTACCTTCATCACAGTCAAAGGCATAGGCAGCCAGGCGCAAGGTGGTATCACAGACGCTGCAGCGGAAACACTCGCGGTGGAAGAAGTGGCCCTCAGCGCTCAGCCGCTCCATCACGTATACACGTTTCTCGCAGAAGTAACAGGTGTCACTGCCACCCACGTTCAGGGGAAACGCCTTCCGCATGGATTCCTGGGGTACAGGAGGGATGAGCAGTGAGACAGGCCGACACAGCCTCAAGTACCAGGTTCAGATGCTTGGAAGCTTCCAACAGTACCACAGGGGCCCTAGAGGGCCAGCTGCTTGCTGCTTGTGTCACAGTAGCTGAGAGTGAGAGTGGTGGAGACACACTCTATGGCCCCAGGCTGGCTGCCCTGATTCCAGGGCAGGAGGGCTGCCCCCTGGCTGTGGTAGAGGAGGCATCCCTTGCAGACATGCCTGTCCAGGGATGCCATTGCTGGGCTCGGTTCCTCGGGTCAGAGTCATCTGCTCTGGGTGTGGTCACTAACTCTGTGTCACTGAGGATGGCTTACACGTTCTTGTAGGAGCTTTGGTCAGACAAGGACAGTTTGTGGCAGCAGCTGTGCCCAAGAGCATGGCAGAAGTGGTGTTTCATAGCCCCTGAGCTGCCAGTCAAATCCTAGGCACAATAGGGAGGGCAAGGGCATGGGACCTATCTGGATGATTTGAAGGAAAGGTGCCAAGAATAAGAAGCCCAAAGAACAGTGGACTCCCATCACCAGCCACAGGAGCCAGTGGCCTGCCTGGGGTATGGATGGGAGATTTCAAAGGAAAAGCATGCGGTCGCATCACTTATTTCTGCATGTCATATGCAGGGGCTTCTCAGTTTGGACCCAGGGCTTCGTTGTCCTCCCCAAGGCTGAGCCCCATGTCCACAGAAAGCAGGGCAAACACTGTCCTGGAAATGACCCACTAAGAACCTGGAATGCAGCTTCCCTTCGACCTCTGCCCTGGGCCAGCCTCTTGCTCCCCAGACATGGGGCCTTCGAGGGGAACTGGGCCATCCTTCTTGTCCCAGGTATCTCTCCTGAGAGGCCAGAGCTGGTGCCTGTTGGTGGAGGTGGAGGGGACATATCCTTACCAGGTCTGGAGAGCTGGCCTGGGCCTTGGGTCTGTGATCGTTCAAGTACAGATTGACCAGGACTTCAGCTGCAGCCCCTATTCCGCTGGACACTCTCCCTACTGTGAGCTAAGCAAGAGCAGAGGCAGAGGAGACAGGGAGAAAGGGAGCCCATTAGCACCCAGAAAGCTGCCAACTGGCCGGATGTGGGGCAGGGCCCACGTTCCCATGCAAACAGCACCCAACAGCTTTGGAAAAGCAAACCAGCCAAGGGGTAGCACAGCACAGGTGCTCTGGAGATGGGGGAGAAAGGAGGAACACAGAACCCCGTGGCCACCACAATACCTTCATGGGAGATCCCTGGGGAGACAGGAGTGCAGTGACTAGAGGGAACTGGGGCAGGTTTGGTGCTTCAGGGTCACAGGATTAGAAGTTTCTGGAGACAGATGCTGCACACTGTATAAATATATTTAGTTCCTTTATACTCAACACATAAAAATGGTAACACTGGCTGATTTTATGTTACATATATTTTTAAAATGGAAACGAAGAGACTATAAAAGGAAACTTCTGGAGCCCTGAGTGAACCAGAAGCTGGATATAAAACCACATTCATGGGGAATGTGAGGCCTCTGGGAATTGGCCCAACCTCTTACACAGGTAGGGTAAGCATCTCTTTGAAGCCACTTAGCAAGTGCATAGGTGATTCAGGGCTACACTGGGGTCTCCCTGCTTCCAGCCCTGGAGCTATCACAACAGGTTCTCATTGGGTTTGGTGACTACCAGCAAGGCCTGCATTGCAACTGCATTTCCACAGCCTCCAGGAGTCTACGAGACACAGAAGTCAAGCAAAAGAAATAAATCAATCAGGGAGCAAGTCCTACCAGCAAGACAGCTAAACTGTGGTCACCTCCTCCAGGGTGCCCTCCTGTCTAGATGGCTGTGGACAATGAGCTATACACAGCGGGCAGTGGGGTCTGCACCCATCTGGGGAGCCCAACACAGGACACTGCTCAGGTCCGGCACAAAGTTTGGAACTTCTGGGAACACGTAATTGAACAGGGAAGGTTAGATATGCTTTGTGCATTTGTGGAAAGGACAGAGGAGTGACAGAAGCAATGTCTTGTGCCTGGTACTTAGTGGGGCTGGGCCAAGAGGACCTGACTCCTCATTCCTTTCTCTAGACCTAGCCTGCCTCAGCCCACCCTGCAGCAATGGGGCTCCTGGGAGAGCGAGGTCTGTGTCTAGCCGAAGTCAGTCATGGCACAACCGCAGACCACTTTGCTGGAACAGCAGTGTTGGGATGACTGGGTGCCCCAGCAAGGGCAGGAAAGGGCAAGTGGGGGGAGGAGCTGAGGGGTGCTTGTAGCAGGTCACAAAGCCAGTGTTGGACAAAACCATCTTAGAGTAGGGCAAGCTGCAGGGCCATATAAACTACAGGGAATATGGCCTGATGTAGAGTTACGGTATTTGTGCTCCCAGGTGCACCTCCAAGTTCTTTGTTCTCTACCAGTAGGTCAAGGGGTCAAAAGGGATGGTCTAAACAGAGCTTGGCTTGACCTCACACATGCCCCCTGGGTAAACCTCCAGCTCTCAAAGGCCACTCTTGCCAGGCAAACACGCTGAGTGGCAGATCCTGAAAACACGGGTGCCTCATCAACACACCCTCCCCAAGCCTGCAAATGTAGCTTCCAGGAGAGAAGGGTCCCAGAGGGGCACCCTAGGAACTGCAGGACATCTGGGCAAAAGTCAGTTGCTAACTCCACGGCATGTTGTTTGAAGGTATAGTCACAGCCTCCACTCAAACCCAAGATGCCTCAGTGGCAGGAAAGGTGTGTGTGTGTGGGCGGGGGGGGGGGCGGGCAGTCAGGGTGCATACCTCACCCCATACTCAGAGTGAATGGGCCTAGGAGACCCTGGGTTTGTTCTTATTAAGGCACCCCCAAGGCCTACACACCTTGGAATAGATCTTCCCCGACCACGTGTGTGCTTCTTGGGGACTGAAGAGAACATGGCAGGCTGGGGGTTTCAGATTTAGGCAGGTGAGGCCTCATCAGATGTTTTCATTAGAAGCAGCAGCTGCCAAGCCAGGCAGCCCCTCCTACCATTCCCTAATGCGTCCCAGCCTGGGAGCTTGGGATTCCACTTCCAAGCAGACTCTTGGTCATTGGGCTACTACTTCTCAGGGCAATAAGCCATTGGGTGTCTGACCTCCCATCCTGCACCAGGGCCTCCTCCATGACCCCTTTGGATGCTAGAACATCCAAAATACTTCCTAGCTTTATGTCAAAGTCATGAAGGAGAGAGGATAGCAGGGAAAGGCAGATCTACCCATGGTACTAGCTGCTCAGCCCCTGGTGAGCCCAGGGTGTGAATTACTCCTTGGCTCAGAAAGGCACCTGGTAAAAGTAAGACTCACATCCAGTTATTGCCTTCCCTGACTTAGCAGATCAAGACAACCCTTTCTGGGGGCTTACTAGCCACTTAGCTAATAAACACGTCTTATCACTGAACAGTCCTAATTTAGGGAACAACTGCTTCCATGAGCAGAGGGCTCGGAGGTGGCTGGTGCTGTACCAAGACCTATCCATGCAGTTGCAATCTGCCCGCTTGTTCTATCAGCACAGAGAGCTGGACACAGGGTCAGGATGAAGACCACACCTGGTCCTTCGTTTCACTCTAGATCCAAAGGCTCCTTCTGCCAGTGGCATCCACGCACACTGACAGTAAGGAGATGAAGCCATCCTTAAGGAATTCAGCATCGCATCTTCCACTTGCTCATCCCCACCTGACAGAAATCATCCCAGCCTTACCAAAGACAGATAAGAACTTCACTGAATCCTCACAAGAATATCTTGAAGGAACTTACCTTAAGGGAGGGAACAGGTGGGAATGTAGACTGGTGCGACCTTTGTGGAAGACAGTATAGAGATGCCTCACACACCTACACATAGACCTACCATGCAACCCAGCTTTTGGGACTATACCCAAAGGAAATGAAATCAGCAGATGAGAGATCCACTGGTATCCCTATGTTTATACCAGCTCAATTCACAGCAGCCGAAATATGGAATCATCTTAGATTCCCTTCAGCTGATGACTGCACAAAGAAACTGTGGTTATATGAATACTACGGACTACTACTCAGCCATTAAAAAGATGAAACCCTATCTTTTGTGATGAAATGGATGCAACTGGAGGCCATTACGAAATAAGCCAATTGAAAATAAATCATGTTTTCTCTGATTTGCAGTAGCTAATATATATAAGAAATTGAATAAATGTAAGTGACACTAACATATTGGGATTTAATTATTGCTTACAGCCCTGACCTGTGTTTACTGCTGAACAGGCTTTCCACTTTCTACTAGTTAAGTTCCTTACTTAGTGGAGCATTAAGCCTGTGACTATAAGGTAAATGAAAAATGTTATTGTGAAAATTTTTTAAATGAGGAAGAAAGGAGGGAAGGAGTTATCATTACATTCTTAGAATTGCATCTATGGGCCCGGAGGCGTGGCCTAGCAGCTAAAGTCCTCGCCTTGAACACACCGGGATCCCATATGGTTGCTGGTTCTTATCCTGGCAGCTCCACTTCCCACCCAGCTCCCTGCCTGTGGCCTGGGAAAGCAGTCAAGGACGGCCCAAAACCTTGGGACCCTGCACCCGTGTGGGATACTCGGAAGAAGTTCCCGGATCCTGGCTTCAGATTGGCATAGTATCGGCCGTTGCGCTCACTTGAGGAGTGAATCATCGGATGGAAGATCTTCCTCTCTGTCTCTCCTCCTCTCTGTATATCTGACTTTCCACTAAAATAAAAATAAATCTTAAAAAAAAAAAAAAAGAATTGCATCTACGGAACACATGAAATCTGCTCTCTTTATATAAATAATTTTTTTTTTAAAAAAGGGTTGAGGGCCCGGCGCCGTGGCGCAAGTGGTTAAGTCCTCGCCTTGCACGCCCGGGATCCCATATGGGTGCCGGTTCTAATCCCGGCAGCCCTGCTTCCCTTTCAGCTCCCTAGCTGTGGCCTGGGAAAGCAGTCGAGGACGGCCCAAGGCTTTGGGACCCTGCACCCGCGTGGGAGACCCGGAAGAGTCTCCTGGCTTCAGATCGGCATAGTATCGGCCCTTGCGCTCACTTGGGGAGTGAATCATCGGACGGAAGATCTTCCTCTCTGTCTCTCCTCTCTGTATATCCACCTTTCCAATAAAAAATAAAATAAATCTTAAAAAAAAAAAAAAGAATTGCATCTACGGAACACATGAAATCTGCTCCCTTTATATAAATAATTTTTTTTTAAAAAAAGGGTTGAAATTGGGGGGGGTGGTGCGGGTTGGTGGGAGGAGGGTCCTCCAAACCTGGACTCCAGGTCAGAGTGGACTTTGCCCCAGGCGTAGAAGTGTGCTTTCTTCTTCCTGCGTGTGGGTTGGCCACACTGGCTTCTGAACTTGAGGATAAGACCTCCTGGCTTCTGCTGGCTGCGGCTTCTGAAACCATCAGTGGAAAATCACCCGATTCTACTTTTTCTTTTACAATCTCTCATCCATGTGGCTTGATCCTTCCAGATGCTATAAAAACAGGTTTCTAGAAACAGGATTGTACACTTGGATACGAGGCAATGCCAGATTACCCTACATTATTCTTTCTTCTTGTCTTTGTTCAAGAGGCAGAGAGGCAGAGCAAAAGTGAATGAGTAAGGGAGAAAGTGAGACAGAGGTCTCCCATCCACTGGTTCACTCTCCAAATTTTGGCAACAGTTAGGGCTGGATTGACCCAAAGCCAGGAGCTGGAACTCAATTTGGGTCTCCCATAGGGTAACAGGGATCCAATGACATAAGCCATCATCTGGAGCCTGCCCTAGATTTACATTCTCTGGAAGCTGGCATTGGAAGTGGAATCAGAGTTGGAGCCCAAGCTCTGTGATGTGAGCTGTAGATGTTCCAATACATGTCTCAGCACTAGGCCCAATGGCTGCCCCTCTATACATTTTTAATGCTTACTCTCATTTGCTATATCTGTGTGTGAACTACACTGGAAGCAGCCCTGCTTGGACCAACTGGGGAATTATCAGGTGCTCAGGATCATGAGCAATTAGGAAAAGCTCAACTCATGGAGAATTTTCCAGAAA